GTCACATTCCGCATTACAGTTGTTCGGTTTCGTCCAACACGACTACCGATTTCCTTGAAAGACAATCCACACTCTCGGTAGACCACTATAGGTTTTTTTTTTTTTTTTTTAAAAAAAAAACCACATCGGTGGCCATCAGTGTAATTGCCAGTTTTTAAAAAAAGTATAAGTAGAAAAATGCACTCGAACGCCACTATAGCGAACTTCTGGAAACCAGAATTTTGGTTTACTCTATCCGATCCAATAATAAAAAAAGAAAAGTCTCACAAAGTAGAGTTAAAAAAAAAAAAAAAAAGGAATGATAAATCACAAAAAAGATGATTAGCATTGTCACATCTCTGAAAAGAACTGAATTATAAGTAATTTAGAAAAAGCAAATTAAAAGTTACTTGCAGTTACTATTACGTTCAAATACTAAATTTCTTTTTCATTGTCTTTCAGTTTCACTATAAGTTAAGAATTTCACACCATAAATCAAATACAGTAAACCCTCGTTAACATGAATCCCAAGGAAAAAAATTAAGAGTTAATATTAAAAAAAACGTGTTAATTAAGAACTCAAATTTTATTTTAGAATAGTTTTTTTTTTCTTACCCATTAACCATTTACAGTATGTAGATACGTACGTACTTCTTTATATTATGTATGTCACCACAGAAAGCACTTCAATATTACATTAATTACTGCACTGTAACTTGAAAAAACATACTCACAGATCCTTTTCTGGTGAGAAATCCCTACATATCGCACTGTTGCAGACAGTAAAGAAATTACCTTGTAATTTCACGATTCAGATGTTGCAGCAAAACGGAACGGCGGGGAATTGAGATTCGAGAGAGGTAACCCCGGATTCCGAAAATTCGTGGGAAGCCATTTCGACCACTCTCATCTTCGTACAACTTTAATCAACTGAGATATTAATTGAAAACTCCCAAAACATTAACTTTCGCACCCTGCAAGTTGTTTTTTTCGCTAAACTTGATTGCTGTTCGGCTCGCTGCGTCGAAGTGCGCACGAGGTGAAATTTTAAAATTGCCATTCGTCTTTTCTAAACAGAGATCGAGTAAAATTTTGTTATGGAATCACGCGGCTCGTTTATTTTTATTAAGATATATAGAACTGATTTCAAAGAATTTTGCTTTGACTGCAGCCCGCTGATCTGAGTAACTTGCCCGATAGCACAATTTTAAAGCATGATGTGCTTTGGAAAAAAGATTTTTTTTTATAATTATTAGTTAAAAAACAAAGCATTCTTACGTGATAAGAAAGAAAGGATGAAATGTCATATTTTGTTTAGTGTTTTCCTACCGAACACCTGCAGAATGAGAGAAAAACACCTGAAGTGGAGCGATTTTTGATGCCACCTCCAGAAAGTCAGAAGTGGGAAAAGCTGACAGGGACATCACGCTAATCGCAACCATTGAATCCAGTTCACTGGATTAGAGGGTATTTTAAACTAAGATTTATAATGCATATTCTTCACTATTTTATTATTTTAAACGTTTCTCGGGAGCCATAAAAGTGAATGTTATGCTGTTAGATTGAGAAAGATTGAACGACTAATTCTATAGAAATGAAGACTGATAGAAATGATAGCTGTTAAATGTTTATAAAAATTCTAAAAATATGTCGCAGTTAAATATATGAAAAAATCAAATAAAACTTCCAAAATATTATGAATAATATTTTAATATTTTCTCAGTTCAATAAATACAATATTTTAAAATATTACATTTCGTAGACAGAATATCAATAAAATTGGACTTGGATGCCCAGTTGTGTCTTAATGGATATTATTTTCCAGTTTTTATTCAATAGAGATAGGTCATTTCAAAATTAGAATATTATCATATGATTTTTACAAATGATGCATATGCTTCTATATCAGAAAAACTAACAAAGTAAAATCTTTTATCTAATTAGAATTGATCCGAAACTTTTATCAAACAATAATATTATATATTAATTGTCAATAATAGAATGAAATAGTAACTGACTACGTTTATCTCTTGAAACTTAAAAGAAACTTAGCACAGTAACAAAATTTTTGTACTTCCTTACAACCGACTCTTCACAGTTGATTGCCGCTCTCTTTCTTTTCGTTTAGAATAAGAATATAAGTTTGTAATTGTTGAACAGCGTACCACTCGTCCTTGCGCTTGTATTGCTTAACTCTGTTTTATTTTGTGAATTATACTTAAACAGAAATAATCTTTGCAAGTCTATAAATTACCCACTGTTCAAGAAAAAATGTCAGCAGTCTCCTCTCCTTCATCTATACCTGAGTACCACCCTAAATTGAGTTATTACATACACTCTGGGGGGGGGGACAGTTCTACATCTCCCACTCTACTGGGTCGATTGACGAAATTCAACTTGCGTTCTTGATGTCTCGAAAACGCAACTTAGGAATATGTATTAGATTTATATATAGCTTTGTTTGAACTTAGGTATTTTGACACAAAATCGGACTTTTTCTGAAAATTCATACCCATTTTTTTTTCCATATTTCGATTCTGCGACTCACATTATGCCTAGATATTAAATTTTGTAAAATTTGGTGAGAAATTTAAAAAAATTCTCTTGGCGCCCTTTTTCCAGTTTGCGCCAAAAATACTTCACTTGGCGATATCCTTAATTTATAGTAACTTGTTTTCCTTTTCCTGTTCTTCATTATGCAGAAACGGACAAAAAAGATGCATCGTTCATTCTTTCAAATAATTTTAACAAAGTGCTTAAAGCACATTTTGCGTTATTATCGCTTCTAACAAATATGTCAGATTTCAGAATGCGCCAATATAGGATATAAATTCATTTATATCTTTGGAAATTTTGAATAAAATACTCTACTTTTTTGCTGATATGCCTAGAAATACTTTAAGGTGATGGTAAAAATTCTTTAGTTTATAAATTAAAAATAGTTTCGAAAAATTTATAAAATTACTAAAAATACAAATTCTCTAAATAAATCGGAAAATATCTGCGAATTTTATTTCGATTAAACCTAAATTTAGAACTGTGAAAATAGGAATCAAGTAAGTTTAACAAAAAAAAAAAAAAAAAAAAAGAGAGAGAGAGAGAGAGAGAATAATTTAATAAATATATACCAAATTCAATTAACACTGAGCTAATTTTTAAAGAGTAACTCGTGTGAATTTTACAAAAATTGTCACTTTGGCATAATTTGAGCCGTTAGTCGAAATATGAAAAAAATCGGTATGTCATTTTAGAAAAGTCCGATTTTGGGTCAGAATATTTATATTAGGACAATACTATATATAAAACTTACATATTGTTGCGTGCGTACGGATTCGTTACTAAATGAATGCACAAGTCCGATGAAAAATGAACAAAAATTTATTATTATCACAACAAAAATGCTTAAATTTTCTCAAATTATCACGCAGTATTACAATATCTCACAGTAGGTTTCTTTTAACTACTCAAATGTCCAATAGAACGTAATTCAAAACAGCTAAAGAACGCTAATCCGCGAATTCGCTACAATCAACAACAGTAGTTTTTCTAAAACAACAACAAATTAAGCAACTACCACAAACTGAGATGTTTTCCTCCTTTTATAAGATTTTAAAATCACGCGCTAGAATTTTCCAGTACTTTCTCGAAATCAAAAAGAGATATTTATTTATTTAACGCACGCGCTCTTGTATTTTTAATTTTTCCGGCTTAGCTTTCTTTTAATATTCGTCACGCGCTGCACTGCGCGAGAAATAAAACCATTTAATTTATAATTGAACTAATATTAGCTTTTTAAATACCAAATTCGTAACAATATTTAAATCGCGCTTTTAAGATCTGAAAAGCGCAAATTAAATTTTATCAATCGGCCCAGTAAAACGAGAGTTATAGAACTGACCCACTTTTTTTTTTGTGCAAAGTGTACATGTATGTGTGTATATGTGTGAAAGAGAAACTGTTGAACTCGAATATAATGAAGTCGATAAAGAGTCGAATCCAGTATAATGAACGGATAATGTGTAATATTCGATACGTTATAACGATATTTCGTTATAACCAGTCAAAATTTTAAAAATTTTAAATATACAGCTTATTCCTAAGCTAATATAAATAAACGTAAAATTTAAATTAACGGTAATCTTTAAGCTTAAATATTTAAAAAATTATTTTATGTGCATTTATTAATCACATAAAAATGTTTCGTTTATAATGTTCATTTTATGTTGGCTTGCTGTTCATTAATCGCATCAAAAATGTTTCAGTCATACCTTTAATCAAATAAATAAAGTCTTAAATCAGAAGTCAAACAACAAAAATCAGCGTTTATGATGATCATTTGCGGTTTTGCAGCTGAGGATGGTGGTTCGGTAAAACCATCGAAACTAGTCCTGTGAAAATTGTGAAAATATAACACTGATTTTTGTTGTTTGACTTCTGATTTAGTATTTATTCAGCGTGTTATTGTGTCTTAAATAAATTCTTACTTATAATATTCGGGATATACTTTCACAATTTTAGTTGGAAATGAAACTATTTTGATATTTATCGGTAAAAGATTTTCTACGCTATTTGAAGAAGCCAGTGAAATGTTTAATTATTTTTTTTTATTTATTTATTGCTTTTGAAATTTCAAACGATTTGGCAGTTAAAATAAGATTTCGCTGTAATAATTTCTTCCTCTTCGTCACTTAATTTTGCTTTATTTATTTATTTATTGTTGTTGTTTCACAACATCTTGCACAACATTACGTACTTAATTCCACTGAAGTAGTATTATTGATCTTGACACATTACCTTCCAAAGAATCATCATCACATATAATGTATAACTCCTCTTCTTTTTAAAATGACCAAATTTCATCCTTGTGTAAGTTTCGTTAGTTAAACTTCTCGTTATTTCGACTATTATCTGCTTTCAAGTTGTTTAGTTTGCATGCTTCCAATAATTTTAGTTATTTGCATGGGCATTTTTTTACCAAGCATGATCTATATCTAGTTCTATTCAACATTACTTCTTAAAAATTTTTTTTTTTTTTTTTTTTTTTGGATTTCTTTCAAAGATTGGTATGAAAATGCAGCGGTCTCAAACTGGCGGGTAACATGCGGCCCACCGAAGTAATTTTATTCGGCCCGCGAATACATTTCCTCCATTAATTAGCTTTATTGTGACAATAATTTGAAGAAAAAGATTTTAATGGTTTGCATTCCAATTTTACATTATTATCAGTACAAAAAACGAACGCAACTCTTTGGAAAATATAGAAATAGCGTTAAATAATTGACATTGGGATATAAATCTTATACAAAATTTGAAGATCCAGATTTTACATTATTTGTACTCGTGAAAAGATAAATCTTCTCAGATCTTTACAATAAAAATAATCGCTTTGTTGCGGAGTACATTTACATTTGAACTTTTTTTTAATAGTTGTAAATTAATAAATCTACGAAAAGAACCAGACTGTCGATGAGTATTTACAGTTTGGGATGAAGATACTTTTATAAACTTTATGAAAAACGAAATGCTATGAGGGATTGTAGGTGAAAGGTATAGTGATAAACAAATAAAATTTTAATTATTTATGTACAAATATTATTTGCTCCGTGTACGTCATAGAAAATCTAATAAATAAAAGAAAGTGATTCCATTGTTTATTCCCAAGTTTTGTCCCTTTTGAGAAGTTTTTGTATATTTCTTTTTAGTTTGAATTAGAAGTAAGCTATTTAGTAGTAACTTTAATATATTACAATTATTTGAATAAATTTCAATCTGAAAATGTTTTGCTATAATGAGTGAGTGAATGATATAGAGAAATTTTTTGCAGGTACCAACTTTAAGATTTCAGGCAGAAAACAAAAACTTGATTTGTTTTTCTTTATTTTTCTATGTATTCTCTATCAACTTGATTTTTGTTTCTTTATTTTTCTATATACAGTTTGAAAAATATGTACTAACAATTTTTAATTTAGTTAAAAAATTTTATTTTGTCAGAAAAAAGTGTTTTTCTTTCTTTGTTCTTTTTTTTATTGTGGCACGTCTGCTACTTTCAGATCATGCATTTGGCTCGCGTGAAATTTGAGTTTGAGACCCTGTGACAATGTAATAATTAAATTTGAAAAATAAACAGACTCAAAAGAAACAGACGGGCTTTTAAAGGCTTAATTCTACCAATAGTTAAATTTTGATCGTCTTCTAAAAAATAAAAATTTCTTTAAGATGATAAAACGTAAAGAGACTGTATATATAATATAAAAGGCAAAACACGAGGCATGCTCATACTGTACGTAATAATAAACTTGTACATAAACTTATACCATGTTATAAATATTAAGAGCATTTGTAACATGATCAGTGAAATTTGTAAGATCGAGTAGCTGATTTTGTTAATATCAGCCTTAGCTGTACCATTGCTCAAATTTTTATCAATGATTAATATAAAATTTTATCAATAATGAATGTAATTCATCTGCAGATTACTCTTGGAAATAGTACGATCTGGATAAATAAAGCAAAACTGAATTACGATTTAAACTGTCTGCAAACTTTACCCGAAAAATTTTCATTTTACACCTTAAAGCTGAGGAATTAAAAATTTTTATTATATACTTTTAAGTATTTTTCATATTATGCAATGTTTTACAGCATATTAATACGCAAAAGCTATATTCAACTTTCAAATACAATTAAATCTAGTTTTCATTTATTGATATAATTTTCGAAATATTTAGTGTTCAGCAACATGTCCTTTAACGAAATTCATGATACGCCCCTGCTCAGAAGTAACATGTGTTTTCACCATTTGCCAATGAGATACATTCTGATGACCTCAGAGATCACGTGACTTGTCAATAGCTAAAGTAAGCGAACAGTGTAGATTCTCGGAGGTCACGTGACTTATGTATAGCTAATGGAAACAAACAGGATCATTCTTCCTCTTCTTCTCTTGCAAAATTATCTCATTAAAGGGCAAAGAAGTATAAGGCAATGCCTTTTTTGAAAATAATTTGTTTCGAAAGAAGAATAATTTTTTTTAAATTTCAATTTTTAGTCTAGAATTGTTTTACAAACAGAAATAAACACAAGCAAAGAACAGATGTTTATTACTATTAGTTACTGTCCTTTGAAATGTAACACAGCAGTAACATCTGGTATGTGCACTGAGACCCTTCCCAGTAACAATTTTAATTTAATAATGTCATTGACAAGTGCGAAATTTTAATATTTGAACCAATTGATATAACGTTACAATTATAATAGACGCAATTATTACATTTAAAATAAATACGTAAATGCTCTCCAATATTTGCTTCTCTATTTATTATCACTAGCACACTTTTTAATTCAATATTTAATATCTAGTTAGTCTCTATACTTAAAACAAGTGCTGACTCATCAATGCACTAAAATAGAACTTTCAACAGAAATGTCAGTCAGTCCTTACGTCTTTTGCATGCTTCCTTCTAAATTAATGGTTTGTTAGAAAAGTATTTTTTGTATATGATCAATAAATTATCTCTTTCTCAGTGTTATTTAAAAACATCTTACATGCAGTTAATAGTTGCACATAGTGTATTCTGGAAAAAAATATCTTCCAAACATTTATATGCTTTTAAAAAAAGAAAAGTTTACATAAGATAATGTAACGTAGCATAAGATGTCCCATATAAAATGCAATTCACTGCTTCATGTTCCACAAAAGTAATACATCTACTTCTTGCTGGATCTGACTCATTATCGTGTCCTGAATTTGTAACTTTCCCTAGATCAGTCACAATTTCATTTAAAATACGCAAGTATTCAAAACAGCAGGATATAAGAGATTGGAAATCCCATTGTACATCTTCAATAAGTATTGCATTCGCAGAAGATAGGCGTCTGAGATATGCTATCGTTTACACAAATAAGTGGTTCAATCTTAGTTTCAGTTAAGCATTAAAGCACACAACTTTCAGACATTTTTAATGTATTTCATTGTACAGAAAACGTATGGAACTGTTGGTCACAGTATGATACATTGAACTGTTAAAACTTCACAAAACTACCGAAATCTTTTGAAGTCAAAGAAAAAGGGCTTGCAGCGACACACTTCGAAGAATAGCACAGTTAGAATTCAATATCAGAGAGCCGGAGAAGAGCATTCAAACATAAACCTTTTAATTGGCGGGAGGAACACCATTCATATGGATTATGTATGCATATTTCGATTTATGTATATTCATATGTTTCCTTTCATATATGCATAAATTAAAGGGGCGTTTCATATGGGACGCCGTGTATTTTACAATTGTGCTCTGCTTAGATCATTGAAGTGGCTCTGGGAAGAATAGGTGATTAAGCTTGAGGTAGCCATACTGTTTCATTCATGCTGTTATCTTCTAATTGTGGGACTTCACTCCCATCATTTACTGGTCCACCATCGGGATTGTTGTGGAATAGTTTTGCATTGTGTGTACACGATATTGAGCCAGAACAAATGATTCTTTTAATAGAATAGAAGGCTTTGTTTAGCAATTCTCTGACAAGCTCGGCTGCGCTCGAACCACAAGCCTTATGCACCTCTCCAAAAATACAATTTTCTGCCTCGTTTATTGCACTATAAAAAAAAATCAGTGAAGTTAAGAGAAGAATTAAATACTTGAAGACAAAAAAAAAATAATAATAATAAAGAATATGTAAATCTTATATATAAAACACGTAAATATCCGAAATAATCTTAGTGTACTGAAATGATTTGGCTTAAAAAAGCGTTTGTCTTTTGGGTAGCTTGTTCAAACATTGCATTTTAGCTATTTGCCATCTAATTAAGATAAGCACGGTATTCTTTGGAAGTGTGCCAAAATACATAGCTATATCTAATTGGGATGTCAGACTGAATAAGTATGCAGGTATAGAAGGAATAGGAATAGTTTGCTTTTGAGTAGATTATGAGTCAGAGACGTCAGCGAAAGCAACCTTTGTAGTATAATAACTTTTGTTGATACCATTATTACTTTCCTAGCAGTTGAAACCTTTCAGGATACGCTCCTAAATTTTTATTAGTATTTCAGATCTTTATTAATGATGTAATTGTATAATATATTGCCATGTATGCTATTTTATTGCATCAAATATAATAACAATAATACTGTTTCATTTATTAAAAAATATATGAAATATCTAATGGACACCAACTGCTTTCCGTCTGTACGTAATTGTAATTCATTTCTGTACGGTTGAGAAAAAAATTTTATTAAAAATTTCGCAAGCATGGTCTTTTTAGGTTCTTTTAGAGGTAACTGGTGATATAGTTACTTTAGTTATACAGAACCAATTTCAGTACTTATCCTAAAAGTTTCAAATTTAATTGCAACTAATAACTGTAATAGCAGCATTGATTAGTTTGACCTCAAAATCTTTTATTACAAACATACTGCTCTTTCTTGATAAAGGAAGAATATTTTCTTTAAAAATTACTAAATATGCAAACTAGACCCCTAAAATAATAAGATATCAATGATCCGAAACTGGAGCTATGATGAGTCTGGATAATAGTAAATTTTCATATTTAAAAAAATGACCGAATCACTTATTAGTAACAGTACATTATTCCTTTTCAGCACAAAACGACTGTTAGTCTTTAAACACAATTTTGTGTTCATTCACTTTAAATGTCGTCTATTTTGTATTATTTCCCTTTTCATTCGAGCCTGTTGCCATTCGTCAAAATATAAGGTCTTTTGATTTTAATCTATCTGTTATTGATAAAAAAATTAGGTTATTTAAAAGCAATAAAGGCAGTTCTTAATAATATTACTATATTACTTTTTAATCTGGTTGATTTAAGTAAAAGTACATATAATTCATGATATATCTATTCAAAAACATTTAATAGTTTTATAGAATTAAGTTATGTGTTTTTCTCTTTTCAAATATACAGAAGACACACAATTTTTCCTAAATGCATATTCATCTAGTATCCATATAAAATGTTACGCTACTTCACTTTCTATCTATAATCTCTAGTGATAAACCATATTAAACTTAATATAAACCATATGAAAATAGCCCTTCTGGGTAACCATAAAAATCTGAATCATTTCAGGTTCTTTTAAAATTTTATTTTAGATTTATAATTAATTTTATTTTCAAGAACTTAATTTCTACATTCAATTGCATTCTTCAGTAAAATGAACAGAAAAATTAGGCATAATAAAATGCTTAAAATGCACTGATAAAAGTAACCATAACTTCTGAATGTCTTTTATTGCAATCGAAAGTTAAAATACTTACTGTTTACTTGAAGAAAAAAGGAAAAAAAACTCTGAAAATATTTAAATTTTAATGTCGCACCTGAGATTTGTAAAGGTATTTTATACTCTTGCAGGTTACCAATCTCTTTTTCCGACTCAACCCTGCTGATGCGAGGTTTTTTTTTTTTTTTTTTTTTTTTTTTTTAACTTTCTTTCTTCCTTCTTTTTTAAAAATTTTAGTATTAAACTAGCTGAAGTACCTATAGTCTTCAGGTTTCGTTACCTTAGTCCCAGAACGAAGAGGCGTCATTATTTAGGGGAAGCCGAGTAGTTCTTTTTTCGAAATCTCAGATAGACAGCGATATTTCCTCTTACTTTGGTTCAAGAAGAATTGTGCAAAATTTCACCAAGCTCAATGCAGTACTTTGTTTTTTTTATTAAGAACCGATGCTTGTTTTGTCATGGGTGATATATTTTTTGAAAAATTATCCTTCACTTTAGCAGATTCTTTTCAACGTTTTCGAAATATTCTCGAAAAACTGAAAACGAGCGCACTTGCATTCTACTTTTAAGGTTCTTTACTGTCCTGGAAAGTTCTACACAATTCTAAAGAGTAAACGAACATGGAGCCATCTAACAGTTTTAGTAAGAACTGAGAGAGGGAAAGCAACAACGGCGACGTGAACCTAAGACAAGTAACGTATTCGCAGTATGGGTGTGGTGAGAGTAACGTTTTAATATATGCTTCTAATAATGCATTGAGACTGAATTCTGTGGGGTAGTTTTTCAAACTCTTATGTAGATAGTGACCTTCTTCTTGATCACAGTGATCCAGTGGCAACACTTTTTTTAAAATGGCTGAGTTTGTTCATTAAATTTTAAAGACAAATTTTATGTTAGGAGAAATGAAGAGAAAAAAATGTATGTGCCGTGGACGCAATCAACTGATCAATGTTAACGTTTACAGTGTTAAGTATTTTCAAACTTTTTAGCCCAAAGGTGCGTTAACCCAGAACTGAACTCTCTGGGAATTGAACTCCGGACCTTCCGACTTCTGGCCGGACGTGCTTTCCAGTTACACCATGAAAGCAGTCGGTAAGGAAGAAGAGAAACCTTACAGTCTGTCTAGATAACTTCTGATGAGTTTGAATAATCGAAGTTTTAATGCATTTTCGAAATGGTTATATTTAACACAGTTAAAAATCAAGCCGAACTATTCAATATAGAGTTTTTAAGAGAGTAGACTACATTCTACAATATACTACTTATAAACTACATTCTACACATACATTTGAAAGTAAGAACTTACCAACAAATAGCTTCTCTAAGAGGCCGTTTGCTATGATACGATGTGGAAAGTGAATCTTCAGACAATAATCTTGAACAAGCCTTGAATGATTGGTTCTCTTTACGTAAACATTTAGCTGATTTCGTGTAACCTAGAAAGAAAAAGAATAATCACAGTATACGTAGATTTTTTCAAATATACTGTTGGTGTTACAGGCATTTAGATATTTTGGAGGGGGTTAAAATAAAAAAAAAATTCTATTTGTGATAGAAAAGTCTAGATTGATAGACGTAAATACCTCAAAAATTATGCTGTGGTTCGTATTGAATATATGCTCACGATGAACTCATGGATCTGTTCGAAATCCTCTCAGATCAAGAAGATAATAAGTTATAACAACAGCAAATGGTTAAAAAAATCTGATATGACATTTCTTCTACGGCCTATTAACTTATATAGGGTCAGTTTGAATGCCTAGCAGACATCAGACCACATTATTAAGTTATATATATTTTTATACACTTCATTTAAACTTATTTCCTCGAATTTCATTGGATATATTTCTAATTCAATCAATTCAGTTCTCATTTCGCGGCAAGGCAAAAATACATAAAAACTCAGGCTTCATTGAAAATTATAAAATACAGAGAAACATAAAACACCAAATACAGTTAAAATATTTAAAAAAGCAATTTTTACAGTCAAAATTAGTGTTTCTTAGCAGAAACAAGCAATTCGGCCAGCAGGCAAAAAGACAAAATTTTCAATGCACAAAATTGAAAGTTAACTTTTAGTCACACTGGGCAGAAAGCATTATTTAACTTTGATGCATCAGCGTTACTTAACTTTTGATGATGACTTATCAACCTCAGGAGCGCTATGATGAAGCAAACGCTAAGCGTCCGATATTGAGAAAGAGAGCAATGATAAAGCAAGATGTGATTCCGATTTAAATTTGCGAAAATATAACAAATCCTTTTCACACATGCTCTTTCTGGCAGAGAGATTTGAAAAGGATTATTAGGGAAATATGATATAGACGTTAAAATAAGTAACTACTAAAATTGTTATGATGAGATCTGAAGAGTAACGTATTGAAATAAATTAAACATTGATAATAGACTTTTTAAGTAGTTATTTTGTAAAATTATTAAAATTCCTTTAGTGTCATAGCATTTATCATAGCATTTTTGTTTATTCATTTTACTGGCATCTGTGACCAAGGTATGTGTGCAATAGATATATTTCATTGCTTCTGCTTGATTTAACGCATTTCATTATGAGCTTCGAACGACTGCTTCATGCTGATTGCCTCCTCTCGTAAGTTAAGAAGTTGCTGGTTTTAAAATCAATCGCTTTGTTATAAAATTGTGCGAACGCCTTTTGCAAATTTGTGCGAAATACTTTATTCATAGCTTTGAAAATTTTTAGTATTTTTCAGTTTAAATAAAAATGTTTAAGATATAAATTTTAGCTTGCGTTATCTGCATATTAATCTCTACTGGGAAGCAAGTAAGCAAACTGCTGTACATATAGGTACTTGGAATTTAGTCATTCAGATTACAAAAGGCATCATTAGTAACTCCAACCAAAATGATGATGTCACATCGCTAGAAGTACATTTGTTTTCTGCCTTTTCCACAAAGGTGAATTTTACAAGATATCCAGAAAAGTGTCAAGAATATTTCTTTTAAATGCATTGGATAAAATTACGAAAATATGATAATCTTACCTAATTATTTTGTTTTATTTTTAGTCACTTTTCGTTTTAATAAAATAAAATAAAAAAAGGAAGAGTGTTTTTAAATTTTTTTATATATCAAATTAACTAATAAAAGCATGTATTTTATTTTTACAGAACTCTTACATCGCTACGTTGAAAAATTTTGCAAAATTCGTAATATTGTCGGTTTTATTTTAAGAAATTTTTTACTTGAAGTATACCTATATAAGGGAAATGTTTAAGGAAATAAAGCTTGTAGACATTTTTACGATTGTACACATTCTGCGTATTTTGGCAAGGCTGTTGTTTTTCAATGCCGTTACTTCATCAGACTCGTATCGTCATCTATAATTATTATTGTGCACCAGTTGCTCCTGATTTACTCAGTTTTAGAGTTGTCGGCGATGTTCACCAGCACAGAGCGCCTGTGAAGTTCGCTGCTGTTAGCTAATGTGCTGCATGGAGGGGTGCAGATCTCGGGACATCGAGGTACAAATAGAAGTGGGCGGCACACTCAAAGTTCACCGTTAGTTGTAAAAGTATAGTCTCGCCGCTTTAACTGCGCAGTTCCGATCCAGATTTTGAGGGAGAACATCTACCGTCCTCTCAGGGCAGACTACCAGCTCAAAAAAGGCTAAGTGACAGTTTCTGGCCGCAATAGTTTCAGAATATTAAGACGAACAAGACAACACAGGAAAATCAAAACTGTGATAGACAGCTATGCAATAATGTACATGACAGAGAACAGTAACAGTTGAAATAATGCCAGTAGTGGTAACTAATACCTCAAACGCCAGTTTTACGGCACAGTATCTGCAATAGCACGCTCTAAAGTAGCCACCTAGAGACAGTCTCACTTTCGAAATCTAAGTACAACGCTGGGTACTGTTGCAAGGCAAACAGTAAAAATAATCCTCGTAAAGAATGTATGCTGTGAAGATATATTTCTTCAAGGGCCTTGCAACCGTGCCCATGTAATATATTTTACCTATTTCAAATTGGAAGGCAGGTAATCTGTGTACATATACTTCAAAAGGCCCTGTAACCGTACCCGTGTAACATAGTGTATATAGTGTATATAGATCAAATAAATGCATCTGCTGAGTTGGCATTAAATTCCATATGAATAAATGAATATTTATCTGGGTCGGAAGCCAACTCAACGGTTTACCCCGGTGGATGGTCCACAGGTCTTCTACACGCCTCTCCATGTCAACAGTCTCTCAAGAGGACTTCCGGCTCGCTTTGGCGCGCAGACACTATACATTTTCAAACATCTGTGCCTTTTCTGAGATTCGAACCCGGTTCCATCGGCCCATCGGCGCAGAGTTCCACATGCTTACGCCTAAATGGATTATGTCACAACAGCTGTCTAGACACGAGCGATTTGGAGCGATGTCTTTTCTGCGTGGCGAGAGTGGCGTTACAATATTAACATTTCAATAATTATTATCATTTTGCGAACTAATTAGTAACTGTTATAGAACTTACGAAAAAGTTTGAAATAATATGCTTTGATAATTGTTTTTTAAAATGTTTTAGTTGAATGAATACTTACGTTTACCCAGACTGGAACCAGGACGACACAGTTCTGATATCATTTGTTTAATTCCTCCTAGAATTACCGAAGTGACAAACTTTTCCATGGGAGCATTAACACATTTTTCCAGGCAAGCAACAGCTTCTGCTGACCGACTAAAAAGGATTTTCGTTTACAATTAAAAAACACATGAAAACAGTTCCATGAATAAGTTTCACTTAAATACTTACTTGTCAACCACAATCAAATGATTTAATTGCTTATAAAGAAAACCTAAAAACG